AAAAAAAAAAAAAAAAAGAAAGAAAGAAAATACTTCCCTCAGACAATGCATAATGAAGAAATATCCTTAAGGCCCACGTCCTTCAAAACTAAGAGGAATATTTGCCATTTAAAACAAAACTAAATTGTGTGTTTCCAAGGAAATGTGTTTTGAATAAAAATGCATTTGAGGCCACGAGAAGTGGCTCACGCTTGTAATCTTAGCACTCTGGGAGACTGAGGTGGGTGGATTACTTGAGCTCAGGAGTTGGAGACCGGCCTGAGCAAAAGTGAGACTCTGTCTCTACTTAAAATAGAAAAATTAGCCAGCTGTGGTGGAGCCTGCCTATAGTTCCAGCTACTCAGGAGGTTGAAGCAAGAGGATTGCTTAAGCCTAGGAGTTTGAGGTTGCTGTGAGCTATGATGCCACAGCACTCTACCCAGAGTGAGAAAGTGAGACTCTATCTCAAAAAAAAAAAAGGTGTTTGTATTTTATTTATCTGATGCATGTGATAATTCTTCTCATTTTTATTAGCAGGTGAACAAGTCCAAAGAACTTTTAGTAATGACATATGCCAGAAATTGAGCAAAGTTAACCCTAGTACGGCCTGCCTCTCAATAAGATATTTGTTTGTAGGATATATTGAAAGCACATCAATGATTTTATTATTTACCTCAAGAATAAAATATTACTCAAACTATCTTTTGAGATACCCCCGTGCATAAGGAAAGGGTTTTTACTCCAACACTGAAGAGTATTAAGAGCACAGGGCAGTGGTTTTTAACCTTTTTATCTCACAGCACACTTGAACCTATAGTTAAACTCTATGGCACACTTAAATTATATTAAACCAAAAGAGTAAAAAATATATATATATATACTAAAAAATTAAAAAAAAATAAAGAATATACTTACTGTGCTTTGAACTTCTTTCAAAAATAATTTAATTATTGATCTTTAAAATTTTTCATGGCACACCGGTTAAAAATCACTGGATAGGGCTTATTTTATGAGTCATTGATAATTATCTAAAAGAAGCAGGTTGACTAAAGAGCCAGGTAACTCGTATCACAACACTGTTTGTCAAATGGGTCCTGGTTGTGACTTAAATCGGGAGGCAACTCTGCTCCTGCAGTGACTGTGCCGACTCCCAGATACTCACCCTCCTTTCTCTGCTGACAGTTTTCCCTTATGGTTTGGGTTTCTTGTGGGGCAGGAGGAGAAATTATAAATGTGCTATAAGCTATAAACAAGTGAACTTTTTATCTCAGGATGAAATACTGGTGTTTATACAATTAAACTGTGCATAAACTAAATTTTGTTTCTTTTCACAGACGTAACCTGTTCCCATAATGTGGATAATTGAACTCTTGATACCAATTAGCAAAGCCATTTTTTCTTCCAATGTGGACAGCCAGAATCTTAGGCTTATCACCTCTGCCTTGGCTTTAAAGTCTGGCCTTCTCCCCACAGCCCTCATGTGGGGACAGCTTCAACTAGGGCAGGTCTTTATTAAACACAAGGGACTGTCCCACCTTTGCTCTTGTCTTCTTTTACCTTGTATAGCCTGCTGTCATCCCTGACATTCAGACTCATCTAAACTTCCACCCCGCTCTCCAGATTGAGCATTCTTCCTGAACTCCTTTAGCTTGTAATGCTAGAATTCCAGAGATTCCGTAAGCCACACTAGCGTGGGCCCCTCAATTCCCAGACCTTCTTTTCCTCATTCCTCAATCAACACTCCACGTCTATCTGCCATGTTTATATCAGTATTGTCTTCTTCTTCTGAAAACTCAGTAATTGAGGAAGAAGATAGATCATATCAGTGGTTTCCCAGCTTTTCCTTTGCGGGGTGGTGGTGGTGGGAATATGTAGATTCCAATATATGACAGAGAAAGTCCAGCATGGAAAACGTAAGTGAAGATACTGTGGCTGCAGTACAGGGAGGCCCAGAGCCCTAGTCCCTCGGCTTTCCTCATTTCAGAAAGACACAAAAAGCAAAAACATCACGTCGCCCCGTCTAAGAACTACCCATGAGGGCCTGTGAAAATTCCTCCATTTACCCCTTTCTTCTTAAGGATATGAAGTGGGCAATTTTTCTGACACTAGGCTGGCAACCATCCTCCATGTTAGTGTTTGGGAAATGTGGGAAGACCTTCCAAAGGCTGAACCAATAGAACTGAAGGCATTGTGAAAGTTAATAGGTGAAATGGATCATTCTTGTCATACCCAAATAAATCAGAGTTGAGGGGCCAGGAGACAAAAGAATTCGGGTCACATAGCATTGCTCCAAGAATTGAATTCTGTACAAGCCCAACTGCTGAAACTACCTGCTGTAACCTTAAGCCCAGTTTTATCTAAGAGCTGCTGAAATAACCTGCCACAACTTTAAGACTAGTTCTACTTAACGACCATCACTCACCAATCACAGCTCACTGGCTCTGAAAGGCTTCGCTAGTGCTGATAGGCTTACTTTCAAAATAACACATAGCATTTCTCTTTCTAAGGAAGCTCCTGGCCTTTTCTTCCTTCTTTGAAAATACCAAAGACCACCCATGTCTGTGTTTATGCCTCGAATTTCAATTCAGTGATTCCAAATAAAATGTTTAATTTAGGGATTTGTCTCTGTATTTTATTTTTACTTTAACAGTGTAAACTGTTCCCAAAACATACTTACTTATAAGGATGATGATCAGTAGTCTGAAAATTCCAAAGGCAGGAATCATTTCTCGAAAATTCTTGCAAAGAGATAAATAATAATCATATAAGCTATCTATTGGCAAGTGAAACCCCACTTCTACTCCCTCTTCAGCTGCTTTTCATTTAACATAATGTCTGAATGTACAGTATTTACAAACCAAAGCAAGAGTGTAAGAGCCAAGCTTCCAAATGTATTTGGAAAGTACGATGCTGGTACACTTTGGAGAACAAAATGAAACACGATGTTTAATTTCCCAGGAAAAACCAGACAACAGTTTATTACATGGAAATAATCTAAATATAAGTAATGTAAAATCAACACTTAATATGTCAATAAATAAATGGATAAAGCTGGGCAGGGTAGCTCATGATTGTAATTCCAGCATTTCAGAAGGCCAAGGTGGGAGGATCATTTCAGGCCAAGACCAGCCTGGACAACATAGCTCAGATCTTGTCTCTACAAAAAAATTTAAAAATTAGCCAGGTGTGGTGGCATGTGCCTATAGTCCCAGATACTTGGGAAGCTGAAAAAGGAGGATGGTTTGAGTTCAGGAGTTAAAGGTTGCAGTGAGCTGTGATTATGCCACTGCACTCCAGCTTGGGCAACAGAGCAAGACCCTGTTTCTAAAAGAAAAATAAATAGGCTTGGCACCCGTAGCTCAGTGAGCAGGGTGCCAGCCATGTACACTGAAGCTGGTGGGTTGGAGCCTGGCCTGGGCCTGCTAGACAACAATGACAACTGCAACCAAAAAACAGCCAGGCGTTGTGCTGGGCACCTGTGGTCCCAGCTACTTGGGAGGCTGAGGCAAGAGAATCTCTTAAGCCCAAGAGTTGGAGGTTGCTATGAGCTGTGACAGCACAGCACTCTACCGAGGGCAACATAATGTGACTCTGTCTCAAAAAAATTTTGAAAAAGGAAAAAATAAATAAATAGATAAATAAAGGAGATTTATAAATGCTATCCAACCAAGTCTGATGAAATATTTCTAAGCTTTTTTAGTTAATATTCATTTGATACCTCTTTATCCTCTTTCCCAGTAGTAGTTAACAAAGACTTTTAACTAAAATTCAAGTATTACCTTAATTTTTTGAGATAATTTCAAAAGTATTGAAAATGTTGATCAGACACCATTGTTTGGGGGCGGTACCTGTGGCTCAGTGAGTAGGGTGCCTGCCCTATATACTGAGGGTGGCAGGTTCAAACCCGGCCCAGGCCAAACTACAACAAAAAAATAGACAGGCATTGTGATGGGTGCCTGTAGTCCCAGCTACTTGGGAGGCTGAGGCAAGAGAATCGCCTAAGCCCAAGAGCTGGAGGTTGCTGTGAGCTGTGACGCCATGGCACAGGTTGGCCTTGAACTCCTGGCCTCAGGTAATTTTCCGGCCTTGACCTCCTGAAGTGCTGAGACTACAAGCGTGAGCAACCACTTCCAGCCAATGTAAAAACTTTATCCAGTACATCTACCTCTAGAAATCTATCCCACCCAAAACAAACAAACAAACAAAAATCACACAAATGAAAAGAAATGTAAAAAAAAAATTTCTTACAAGAGTGTTATTTATAAATGTGAAAACCTAGGATCACCCCTTCAATGAGGGAGTCTTTAAATAAATCCTGATGCAGCTACATGGAGGATTCTACGGGACACCTGCAAAGACTGAGGGGGATCTCTGTGCCCTGACATAGGTAGATGGTCAGGATACCCTGTGCTGAAATGCAGGACAATGTAAGAGTGGTTCTGTTCTTGTAATGTTAGGGTTGGCAGGAATTTGGATACATGTAGGAAAAGGTCTGGAAGGACATATATTTATATAAAACTATCATCAACCTTTCTTACCACCCCCACCACCAAACTATTAACATATGCTATGTTGGGGACCTTGAATATCTGGGTTTTTATTTAAAATTTTATTTAGTACTCATTACTTTTGAGATCAGAAAATAAAACATAAGAAATAAAAGTTCTGGTGGGCATACAATTCTCATAAAGAAAATGAATGCTCGGTAAAGTTTTATTTTTTACGAGATAGCATCTCGGCTCGGTGCCCGTTGCACAGTAGTTACAGTGCCAGCCACATACACCTACAGTGGCAGGTTCAAACCCAGCCCAGGCCAGCTAAACAACTGCAATAAAAAAAATAGGCAGGCATGGTGGTGGGCTCCCAGCTACTTGGGAGGCTGAGGCAAGAGAATTGCTTAAGCCCAAGAGTTGGAGGTTGCTGTAAGCTGTGACAACACAGCTCTCTACTGAGGGTAACATAGTGAGACTCTGTCTCAAAGAAAAAAAGAGAGAGAGACAGCATCTGACTCATTACTCAGGCTGGAGTACAGTGGCTATTCACAGGAACAATCATACTGTACTGTAGCCTCAAACTACTGACCTCAAGTGATCCTCCTGCCTCAGCCTCCCAAGTGGCTGAGACTACAGGTGTACCCCAACATGCCTGGCTTTCAGCAAATATTGATAAATGACAATTCCCCCAAATAACAGTTACTGTTTATTTTCTCTTTTTAAAGACAGAGTCTGTCTCTCATTTTTTTCTGAGACAGAGTCTCACTTTATTGCCCTCGGTAGAGTGCCATGGCATCTCACAGCTCACAGCAACCTCCAACTCCTGGGTTTAGGGGATTCTCTTGCCTCAGCCTCCCAAGTAGCTGGGACTACAGGCACCTACCCCAACGCCCGGTTATTTTTGTTTGTTGTTGCTGTTGTTGCAGTTCGGCAGTGCTGGGTCTCACTATGTCACCCTCAGTAGAGTGCTGTGGTGTCACAGCTCACAGAAACCTCAAACTCTTGGGCTTAAGCGATTCTCTTCCCTCACCCTCCTAAGTAGCTGGGACTATAGGCACCTGCCACAACACCTGGCTATTTTTTTGTTGTAGTTATCATTGTTGTTTGGCAGGCCTGGGCCAGGTTCAAACTGCCAGCCCTGGTATATGTGGCTGGCTGGTATCGGTGCCTGTAGTACAGTGGTTACAGTGCTGGCCACATACATTGGGGCTGAGCTATGGGCGCCAAGCCTGTTAATTTCTCTTTTTAAGTAAAAGACTTGTAGATTTCATCTCCAAAGGTCTTACCACTAGAACATTCATGAAATAGCCTCCCATCAGAGCATAGACGCCTCCTGAAGCACCCACAAGAGATCTGAGTGGGTCAAATATGGAGCTGGCAAGGGATCCTAAAGAAATAAAACACAAAGAACCAGACATGACTGCAGGAATATGAAAGAAAACTGTTTCCAATCTAAGATAAAAGTCTGGGAGGTTTGGTCCATTATCATATTAACAAACAGCAAATTCATTTTATCACTTTTATACTGTAGAAGTATAGCTGTGTAGGCTGTCACAATTTGTCTAAAACATTAAATGTTCACCAGAAAGCAATTTAACAATAACAAAAGCATAGACTTTGGAGCCAAAATTACCAGCTGTGTGACTTGAGGAAGCTATTTAACCTCTTTATGCCTCAGTTTCCCTACCTACAAAATAGAGCTATTAATAGCACTTGCCTAAATGCATTACCAGAAGCAAATAAATCCATAGCAATAGCATGCTTAGCTACTGCCTGACAGGCAGTACATACTTGTTAGTTACTATTTCAAAACTACCTGTTCTACATGTTTAGTCAAAGCTGTCAAAACACCTGAGACATTCCAACATTTTATTATCTAATGGCTATTGTTCTTCATGAGCTACAATGTGGCCTAATCTTTCTCAACATACCATTCAATCAGATTCCCCAAGCAAGATGAATCCTATTTACTGACCCAATCCTAGATTTCCTGGACCAAAACAAGACTTTACAAACCACCATATGCAAAGGCTACGATGTTCTCTCTATATGGTTAGTTCTGCTACTTGGTTTCTTCCTTTCCAGGCCTTCCTTCCTAAAGATACAATATGATAAAATACATACTTTGTGGGCCTAGGGCCTGTGGCCAAACCGGTGGATTGCTTGAGCTCAGGAGTTCGAGACCAGCCTGAGAAAGAGCAAGATTTCTCTCGACTAAAAATAGAAAAACTAGCCAGGTGTACAGCAGGTACCTCTAGTCCCCACGACTAGGAAGGCCTAGGCAAGAGGATTGCTTAAGCACGAGAGGTTGAGGTTGCTGTGAGCTATGACACTATGGCACTCTGCCCAGGATAATGAAGTGAGATTCTGTATCAAAAAAAAAAAAGGCTCGATGTCTGTAGCACAGTGGTTACAGCCCCGGCCACATACACCCAGGCTGGTAGGTTCAAACCCGCCCCAGGCCAGCTAAACAACAATGACAACTCCAACAACAAAAACTAGCCTGGCATTGTGGCAGGTGCCTGTAGAGGGAGGCTGAGGCACGAGAATTGCTTAAGGCCAAGAGTTTGAGGTTGCTGTGAGCTGTGAGGCCACAGCACTGTACCAAGGACAACAAAGTAAAACTCTGTTCAAAGAAAAAGAAAAAAGAAAACCCCACTTTGCAAGAAGGACAAAGTGTGCATTCTTAGGAATCTCACAAAAAGTTGAGCAAATAAGTATTATAAAATGAAGAATATAACCAGTGCTATGACTAAAATACAATACATTTGCTGTAGAAGCACTTAGGAAGGAATGACTTTCTCTACAGACGAGTAGAGACCCTCCTACTCTGAGGAGGAGGAGATAGCAAAGTTTAATAGCATGCTGATTAAACTTTGAAGAAGCTTTAAGATTTGGATAAGGAAAAGAAGGTATTCAAGAGTTAGAGAACTGAAAAAGCAAAGACAGAATCAGAGGTACACGGATGACTGTAGATCGGTGGGAAATAGTCTGGTAGGACTAGAACAATGATTCTAAAATGCTACCTGGAGACTAGGGCTGGGGTGGTTGTATCATAATCATATGAGGAATTTATTTTTATTTTTAAAATACAGATAGAAATGTCTATTTCTGCCCATAATGGAGTAACAAAAATGGGATTTACCTTCCCATATGAAAAATCCCAAAGCACTGGATAAAATATATTATATGAAACAATGATCTTCAAGATACTGCACATTGGACAACAAAAAACAGTGAACCTTGAGAGACAGGAAATAAGTTAGATGAGCTGTCTGATTGCTTAGATCAGACGTCCTCAAATTACGGCCCGCAGGCCACATGTGCCCCCCCAGGACATTTATCCGGCCCGTGGGGTGTTTTTGCTGCCGCTGCCTGTCCTGCTTAGCAGCCAACAAGGCCAGTCCAGCCCTCCAGTGGTCTGAGGAACAGTGTTTAAAAAGTTTGAGGTCCGTGGTAGATAGTGCCTTAAGCAAGATAACAGACTGCATGATAAGGGAACCCAGGCAGATCCCAGCACACTTCAAGTCAAAAGATGGAGTTTAGAGTTCAGATATCCCTGGACAGCTAGAGTTTGCAAGACAGGGTACCAGGGCAGAGAGTTGCACATAGAGAAAACTCCAGAAAGGAGCATGGGAGGAAATTACCTGAGCCAAGAAAAGAACCACACAAACTAAGATGGGGAGATCACCATTCATACAGCTTTAGGGAGGCTAAGTAACTTTCTAAACTTCATAATTCATGGGGCATTGATTAGCGCACAGAAAAGTTTCCTATACCGGTAGTGGGAATAACTAGCATCTTATCAGAAAGGACCAAACTGTTTCCAGGTAATTTAACAGAGTTACAGAACAAATCTAAAGAATATTTATAGGAAAGAATATTGTATTTATAATACAAAAATATCCTTTATCCAGTTAAGTAAAATGTCTAGCATCCAATAAAAAATTATCAGGCTACTATGGCACCAGTTTTTGAAAAAGAAAAAAAAATATCAGGCATACAAAGAAGTAGAAAAACAGGACCCATAATAAAGAGAAAAAAATCAAACACCCATCCAGAACTGACTCAGATGGTAAATGTATAATAACATATAAAGGCATTAAATAATTATTACATCTGTTTTCTATATGTTCAAAAGTTAAATAGAGACCGGTAAGATATAAAACAGAACTCAAATTAAACTTGTAAAGATGAGAACTACAATGTCTAAAATGAAAAAATAAACCAAATGGGTTTAATGGTAGATTATTCATTGCAGAAGAAAAGATTAGTGAATGTTTTCCAAAGTTTGATGAAAGCTATAAACTCACAAGTGAAAAAAAAACACCCCCAGAAACTCCAAGCATAAGAAACATGAAGAATTATATACCAAGGTACAACAAACTCAAATTGATCAAGATCCGTAAGAATCTCAAAAGCAGCCAGAGTAAAAAGACATGTTTCACACTGAGGAATAATAATAAGGATGATGACAGATTTCTCACTGAAAACAATACACCTGAGGAAACAGTAGGGGAACATAAAAGATAGAAAGAAAAATACTCGGAGTATTTTTGTCTCTACTTAAGCTTGAATTCTTTTTCTTATTTTTTTAATCCTTTTTTTCTTTTTGAGTCTTACTTTGTCACCCTGGGTAGAGTGCCATGGCATGTTAGCTCACAGCACCCTCAAACTCTTGGACTCACACTATGCTTTTGCCTCAGCCTCCCTAGTAGCTGAGACTACAGGCACCTGCCAAAATGCCCGACTATTTTTAGAGACAGGATTTCCTTCTTGTTCACGCTAGTCTCAAACTCCTGAGCTCAGGCAATCTACAATTTTTGGCTGGTGCTGGGTTTGAACCCACCACCTCTGGCATATGGGGCCTGCGCCCTGGTCATTTGAGCCACAGGCACTGCCCCAATAAAGATTTTTTTTTTTCAGATGCAAAAGGGATAAAAAAGATTGATGACCTGCAGACCCATACAACAAAAAATGTTAAAGAAAATCCTCAGGAAAAGGAAAAGGATATCAGATGAAATGTGGAGGTATAAAAGAAAAGAAGAGCACTGGAAATGGTGAGAACGTGAGGACATATATACGATTTTTTTCTTATTATTTAAATCTCTTTAGAAGAAAATTAACTATACAAACAAAACTAATATGGAGAGACCTCTTGGCGGGAGCTGGTGGCTAGCCTGAAGCCAGGTGGAGGAAAGGTGGGGACCCCAGAGCCCGGACCCTGGAGGAGGGCGTCGGTGGCGGTCCTGTCTCTATAAGGTTCTAGGGGGGCTGGGAGACGGCGGGGGGGCGGGGGGGACGGCCTAGCCTAGCACAGCCACTGCGGCCCTAAGGCCCACGCTTCCTGGGAGTTACTGATTGTCTCCTTTGAAGAAACATGAAGTCACACTTCTAAAAAAAAAAAAAAAACTACCAATATCAGGCGGCACCTGTGGCTCAGTGAGTAGGGTGCTGGCCCCATATACTCAGGGTTCAAACCCGGCCCCGGCCAAACTGCAACAAAAAAAAGGCCAGGCGTTGCGGCAGGCGCCTGTAGTCCCAGCTACTCTGGAGGCTGAGGCAAGAGAATCACCTAAGCCCAAGAGCTGGAGGTTGCTGTGAGCTGTGACACCTCAGCACTCTACCGAGAGGGACAAAATGAGACTCTGCCTCTAAAAAAAAATAACTAATATCAATGTAATGTGAGGTCTATCACATGTAAAAGTAAAACATATGGTAACAAAAGGACCAAGAGGCAAAGTGGAAATGTATCATTGTAAGGTTATTTTACTATATGTAAAATAATATCATATTACCTGAAGGGAGACAGTGGTAAGTTAACTTTTTGACTGAGATCAATGCCTACAGGCATTCAAACAAGATGTTAGTTTGGTGTAAGTGATGCCTATAGGCATTTTTCATTTTGCAAACAAAAACTCGACACCGTAATGCTACCTGACTTGAGCCTGTAAGCATCCTATGCTTTGTTCTCAATAGTGTTTACAGCTGTGCCTGAAATAATTTGTATGAATAGTGGAAACTAAAACCAACATGGGTGAATTATTTTGATTAGTAAGCAAACAAAGAGCATGCTGTGCATTCCAATGGTTGTTGCTATCCACACAAGCCTCAACTGGCACATTTTGTTTCTCAGCTCTCCACTGTCAAAGGGTTAGACATACACAACACTGAAAGGTCGAAACAAAGTATTACAGCTCATAAGCCAACTAAGAAGGTAAAATAGAACAATAAGAATACACAATCCAAAAGAAGGCAAAAGGGAAAAACACGAATAAGGGAACACAGAACAGATGGAACAAATACGAGTAGTAGGATAGTAAGTTCAAACCTAACCACGTCAGTAATCACATTAAATACAAATGGTCTGAACACCCAAATGAAAAGGTAGCAACTGTGAGATTAGATAAAAAAGTAAGACTCACCTACCTACACAATGCCTACAAGAAACAGGCTTTTTTCTCCCTAGAAACAGGGTCTTGATCTGTCGGCCTGAGCAACACGATAAAACCTTGTCTGTACAAAAAACAGAAAAGGGCTCGGCACCTATAGCTCAGTGGCAAGGGTGCCAGCCACATACACCAGAGCTGGAGGGTTCGAACCCAGCCGGGGCCTGCCAAACAACAATGACAACTACAACCGAAAAAAAAAATAGCTGGGTGTTGTGGCGGGCGCCTGTAGTTAAAAAAAAAAATAGAAAAGAAAGGCCTAACATGGTGGCTCACACCTGTAATCCTAGCACTCTGGGAGGCTGAAGCAGGTGGATAGATTGAGCTCACAAGTTTGAGACCAGCCTAAGCAAAAGTGAGACCCATATTAACCAGTTCGATGAAAATATTTCAAATTGTATATAAAACCAGCACATTATACCCCATGACTGCATTAACTCACACAGCTATGATTTAATAATAAAAAAAAAAAGTGAGACCCCCATCTCTACTAAAAATAGAAAAAAAAAATTGAGGCAAGAGGATCACTTGACCCCAAGAGTTTGAGATTGCGCTGAGCTATGACACTATGGTACTCTACCCAGGGCAACAGCTTGAGACTCTGTCTCAAAAAAAAAGAAAAGTCAGCTGGGCACGGTGGCACAAACCTGTAGTCCCAGCTACTCATGAGCCAAGGCAGAGAATTGCACTTGAGCTCAGGAGTTTGAGGTTCTAGTATCATGACACCACTGCCCTCTAGGCCAGTGACATAGTATCACCTTATCTCAAAAACAGGCCAGTAAATTGGCTCACACCTGTAATCCTAGCACTCTGGGAGGCCGAGGCGGGTGGATTGCTTGAGCTCATGGGTTTGAGACCAGGCTGAGCCAGAATGAGACCCTGGCTCTACTAAAAACACAAAACACTGAGGCAAGAGGATTGCTTGAACCCAAGAGTTGGAGGTTGCTCTGAGCTATGATGTTGCCATGGCAACCTACCCAGGGTGATACCCTGAGACTCTATCTCAAAAAAAAAAAAAAGTAAGAAGAAGCAAAAACTGATAGAACCACGAGAGAAACAGACAGGTTCATGATTACATTTACAGATTTCAATATCCTCTCTTCTTTTTTTTTTTGAGACAGAGTCTCACTACGTCACCCTTGTTAGCGTGCCATGGCGTCACAGCTCATGGTAACCTCAAACTATTGGGCTTGAGCAATTCTCTTGCCTCAGCCTCCCAAGTACCTGGGACTACAGGCACCTGCCATAATGCCCAGCTATTTTTTCGTTGTAGTTGTCATTGTTATTTGGCAGGCCCCAGCTGGATTCAAACGCGCCAGCTCTGGTGTATATTGCTGGTGCCCTAGCCGCTGAGCTATAGGTGCTGAGCCTCAATATCCCCTCTTTATAATTTATAGAGAAAGTAGACAGAAAATCAGTAAGGATGTGAAGACTAACCACATAATCAACCAAATTGACTGAATTAATGTTCACACAATATTCTACCCAATAAAAGCAAAACACACATTCTTTTCAAATGCACATAGAAACACTTATCAATATAGGCCATATTCTGGATTATAAAACAAATCTTCATACATTTAAAAGGATTCAAGTCATACAAAGTGTGTTCTCAAACCACAATTTAATTAAACTAGACATCAACAAGAGAACATCTGTTTGAAAAATCTACAAACAGGCTCGGCGCCTATAGCTCAACCGGCTAAGGTGCCAGCCACGTACACCTAAGGTGGCGGGTTCGAATCCCCAGCCCGGACCCGCCAAACAACAATGACGGCTGCAACCAAAAAATAGCCGGGCGCTGTGGCGGGCGCCTGTGGTCCCAGCTACTTGGGAGGCGGAGGCAGGAGACTCGCTTGAGCCCAGGAGTTGGAGGTTGCTGTGAGCTGTAATGCCATGGCACTCTACCCAGGGGGACAGCTTGAGGCTCTGTCTCAAAAAAAAAAAAAGAAAAATCTACAAACATTTGGAAGCTAAATGACACACTTTAACCCACCCATCAAAGAAGAAATCAAAAGGGAAATCAGCAAGTATAGTAAGTCCCCTCTTATCAGCAGGAGTATATTCCAGGATCCCCAGTATCTACCTGAAACTGTACATATTACCAAAGCTTATATGTACTCTGTTTTTTGATCTGATAATCAGGATGGCTACTAAGTGACTGATAGGTGGGTATGGTATACAACAGAGATATGCCTGACAAAGGGATGATTCACACCCTGGGCAGGACAGCACGATGGCATGAGAATTCATCATTATGCACTCAGAAGAGAACACAGTTTTAAACTTATGAATTATTTATTTCTGGAATTGTCCATAACATTTTTGGACCTTGCTTGACCACAGGTAACTGAAATAATGGAAAGCAAAACCCTGGATAAGGGAGAACTACTGTATTTTGAACTAAATGAAAATGAATCACACAAGATATCACGATTTGAGGGATCCTGCTAAAGCAATACTTTGGGGGAAATGTAATCATTAAACACTTATGTTAAAAAAGAAGAAAGTTCCAAAGTTAGTGACCTTAACCGTCCACCTTAAGAAACCAGAAATAGCAAATGAAACACAAAGTAAACAGAAGAAAGGAACTAATGGAGCAGAAATCAATGGAATAAAAAGCAATCAATAGGAAAAACATCAATGAAACCAAAGATCAGAGTAAAAATCAATGAAATAAAAAACAGAAAATCAATAGAAAAAATCAATATTCTTAGGGAAAATCAATAAACATGATAAACTTCTAATCAAACTAATCAGGGGAAAAAAAGATACAAAATACCAACATCAGGAATTAGAGAAGTGACATCACTACATGTTCACCAGAGACTAAAAGATAATAAATAATATTAACCAAAAAAAAAGCATTCTATTGAATTGCACACTTTAAATGGGTGAATTTTATGGTATGTGAATTATATCACAGTGAAGCTGTTAAAAAAGGTTTGTCAGTTTCATAAAAATTAAACATACCCTACCATTGGATCAAGCCATTCCATTCCTAGATTTTCTTTACCAAGAAATTTTGTCCACAGTCAGACTTGTACACAAGTGTTTACAGCAGTTTCACTTCCAATAGCCTCAAACTGGAAATAACCCAAATGTCCACCAACAGAATAGATAAACAAACAGTGTAAATAGAATCAATTGCTGATACACATAACAACATGGATAAACCTCAAAATAAGTATATTGAGTAAAAGAAGCCAGGTAATAAAGAGTATTTACTCTGGCTGGGCACAGTAGCTCAGGCCTGTAACTCTAGCACTCTGGGAGCTGAGGCAGGAGGATCCCTTGAGCTCAGGACTTTGAAACCAGCCTGAGCAAGAATGAGACCATTTCTCTACTAAAAAATAAAGAAATTAGCTGGGCATTGTGGCAAGTGCCTATACATGAGGAATAAAGAGACCTCCATCTCTGTTAAAGTAAAAAATAAAAACATTGGTCAGGCATGGTGGTGCACATCTGTAGTGCCATCTACTCAGGAGGCTCAGACAGGATGATCACTTGAGCCCAGGAGTTGGAGGCTGCAGTGAGCTATGTATGATTGGCACTTCTGCATTCTAGCCTGGGAGACAAAGCAAGACCCTGTCTCAAAAAAAAAAAAAAAAAAAGAAAAGAAAAGAAAAGAAAAGCAATGAGGTCAGATAGTAGAGGGTAATGAAGAGCATCCGTGCACACTTTGCCTTTCTTTTGGCCACTGTCAATTTGTTAGGAAGGATATAATATGTGTGTTCTAAGCTGTGTTTGAGGAAAGTGACCTAGGCAGCGGTGTGAAGGATAGACCGGAATGGCAGAGATAACCCACCAAGAAGCTATTACAAAAACAGGCCGAGGAGGGTAACAGGTTAGTCATGTTCTCCCTTCGGTCTCTGCTCTGAAACTGGGGCAAGGCTGAGTCCATAGGTTGAAATCGAGTTGTGAGGTTAACAGAGCTGTAAATGCTGAAGTCAGGCAAGGCCTGACCATCAAAAAAGGCTTTCAAGGACAGGAAAAAACAAGTGTGTGCACAAACAAGAGACAGCGGAAAAACAGGATCCAAAAAAGGCAGGAGGGAAGTAGATGTGGGGCTGCTTCCCTGAGCCTCGCCAATTCTATCTCTTTAACTCGTCTCCCAACTGCTTCCTGTTCCCCATATCCACAGCCACTGGCCCTGCAAGGTCACAGGTCCTCATGGGAACCCTCGGCTCTAGGATGCGGGCAAATTTTTGATCAGTAAAGCACATAATTCATTGGTTGAATTATGTTCCCTGGAAACATATGGTAGAATCTTTAAAGGATGAGACCTATTGATTAAATAATAATTGTAAATTACTTTTATCCAGGCAGTGGCTCATGCCTATAATTCCAGCACTTGGGGAGGCTGGGGCAGGAGGATCACTTGAAGCCAGGAATGTGAGACCAGCCTGGGCAACATGGTGAGACCTCGTCTTTACCCCCCAAAAGTTATTTTTTAATTAGCTAGGCATGGGGTTTTGCTCTTGTAGTCCCACCTACTCAGGAGGCTGAAGCCAGGAGTTTGAGGTTGCAGTGAGCTAGGAGCACCACTGTACTCCACCCTGGGCAATGGAGTGAGATCTATCTCAAAAAAAATCATTTTTACCTCATTGATAATATGAAAAAAACTTTCAATGAGCAGTGTCATTAAGCTTTGCTATTTTTGAAAATCATGACACAGAAAAGTAAAGATGTAATCCTAAATTCGGTTATTTTCTACAGAAAATTCACTCTTAATGGCTATCAAAGCCACACATAAAATTTTTAAACAATGTGTGGTATCAAATGAAAGAACATCATTGACCAAGCAAAATTTTTGTTGTAATTTGGCTATTAATTCTCACCTTTCCCAATGACAGTCATTTGCTTTTGCAAACTATCAGAAAGTACTACAATAAAGTTTAAAACTCACTAAAACTCTTCACTGAAAAACTTTTAAACAGATTAAAAATTAGTTTCCTAGCTTTCTTTTTTGTTTCAAACAGTCTCACTTTGTTGCCTGGGCTAGAGTGCAGTGGCATCATCATAGTTCACTATTCCTGGGCTCAAGCAGTCCTCTGCCTCAGCCTCCCAAGTAGCTGGGACTGTAGGCACCACAATGCCTGGCTAATTTTTCTATTTTTTGTAGAGACAGTGTCTGGCTTATGGTCTCAAACTGGTCTAAAACTCCAGAGCTGAAGCCATCCTCCTGCCTCGGCCTCCCAGAGTGCTAGAATTAATATGCATCAGCCATTGTGCCTCGCCTTCCCAACTTTGTAAATGTGAATATTGTAAGACATATTGCATCATTTTCAGGAGCAAAATCATATAATGATGGACTTATTCAATGCCAGTTTTAAAAACGCCCTTTCCATAGCATGAGTATTTTTGGAAAAGCAGTTATTTTCTTACTTCTTTCTTTTCTTCTTCTTTTTTTTTTTTTTTAAGACAGTCTCACTTTGTCACCCTCAGTCGGTGCCATGGTGTCACAGCTCACAGCAACCTCAAACTCTTGAGCTCAAGTGATCCTCTTGCCTTAGCCTCCCAAGTAGCTGGGACTATAGGTGCTGGTCACAACACCAAGCTATTTTTAGAGACAGGGTCTCATTCTGGCTGAGACTGGTCTCAAACTTCTGAGCTCAAGCAATCCACCTGCCTTGACCTCCCAGAGTGCTGGGATTACAGGCGTGAGCCACCACACCTGACTATTGTTTTATTCCTTGAGAGAAAATATGCTATCATGTTCTTAAAGAGACATATTTTGCCTTTTCTTCTCAACAACATCTGTTAGGTGGCATACTGCTGACAACCTTTTGTTATCACAGAAAAAGTTAGCAAATTCAATACCCTTGTAAAAGAAAAATATTTTGTAAAAGAAAAACACATAAACTAATTTAAGTGAACAACTCTTCTAAATAATTTGCCATAAAATGATCAGCAAATCTCTGGGAGGCACAAAAGATTTCTGTGATAACTCCCTTACTGAGGATGCCCCTTATTTCTTGTAAAGATTACCTTATTTATTTAACCAGGCACACAAAAACCGCAACAAATCCTATTACACAAAAAGGAACAAAGCCATGGCTCGGCACCTGTAGCCCAGTGAGTAGGGTACCCACCACATACACCGAAGCTGGTGGGTTCAAAGCCTGGCCCGGGCCTGCTAAACAACGATGACTGCAACCAAAAAATAGCCGGGGGTTTGTGGCGGGTGGCTGTAGTCCCAGCTACTTGGGAGGCTAAGGGAAGAGAATTCCTTAAGCCCAGATTTTGAGGTTGCTGTGAGCTATGATGCCATAGCACTCTACCAAGGGCTACATAGTAAGACTCTGTCTCCAAAAAAAAGGAAAAAAGGAACAAGCCAACGAGGGCTTGTGGTTCCTGTGTGTTGTGCCTCCCCCAGGAAACTGCACAAATTTAAGTGACTCATAAAGGTGAAAGAGGGTCCTGTGTCAATCTGTGTATTACATAGAAGTTAGGTTTGATTTCTTGCTCACTTATAGAAATAAATGGATTGATAAACAGCATCTACAAAAACCCTACAGCTTATGTTATATACTTAGTGGTGAAAGACTAACATCAGAAACAAGGCAAGGAGCCCCGTTTTCCCCACTCTTATCCAACATAGTGCAGAAATCCTAGCCAGCACAAGGAGGCGAGAAAAGGCAACAAAAGCCATACAGATTGGAAAGGAAGAAATAAAACCCCCATTTGAAGGTGATGCGATAATTTGCCAATGACTTGGTAAACCCTAGGGAATCTAAAACAAAATAAACGAACCTAAAAAACCTTAGAACCCTAGAGTTAATAAGCAAGTTCAACAAAGTTGCAAGATTATAATAAGACCAACATATAAAAATCAGTCAGGTTGGGTGGTGCACACCTGTAGTCCCAGCTACTCAGGAGGCTGAGGCAGGAGGATCGCCAGAGCCCAGGAGTTTGACTCTAGCCTGGACAACATACCAAAACCCCATGTCTAAAAGAAAAAAAAAATTATATATACTAGCAATAACTATATGGATGGTAAAATAGAATACCATTTAGGAGATCTAATCAGGTGTCTTCAAACTATGGCCCAAGGGCCACATGCGGCCCGCCAGATGTTTTTGCCGCCGCTGCCTGTCCTGCTTAGCAGCTGACTCATCCCAGGCCTGCAGTCCAGCCCTCTAACAGTCTGAGAGACAGTGAGCTGGCCCCCTGTTTAAAAAGTTTGAGGACCCCTGAAAATAAGAGACATACTGTGCTCATGAATTGAAAGCCACAACATAGTAAAGATGTCAGTGCTCAACAAACTGATGAAACAATGCAAAGCAATTCCTATCAAAATCTCACCAAGAATTTCTACAGACATAGACAAGATTATTATAAAATTTATGGGTAAGCAGAGGAAATAGAAAAGCTAAAGTGATTTTGAAAATGAAAATAAAGTGAGAGGACTCACTGTCACTGATTTCAAGACTTACTGTGTAGCTACAATAATGAAGACCGTGTGGTATGGTATAAGGATCAGGGGAATGAAAAGAATCCAGAATGGCCCCCACACAACTACAGGCAAATGATTTTTCACAAAGGTGCAAAAGCAAATTCATTGAAGGAGGAAGTCTTTTCAAAAAATTGTTCTGGGCTCAGCGCCTATAGCTCAACCAGCTAAGGCGCCAGCCACGTACACCTAAGGTAGCGGGTTCGAATCCCCAGCCCGGACCCGCCAAACAACAATGACAGCTGCAACCAAAAAAATAGCCGGGCGTTGTGGCGGGCGCCTGTGGTCCCAGCTATTTGGGAGGCGGAGGCAGGAGACTCGCTTGAGCCCAGGAGTTGGAGGTTGCTGTGAGCAGTGAAGCCATGGCACTCTACCCAGGGGGACAGCTTGAAGCTCTGTCTCAAAAAAAAACAAAAAAACAAAAAAAACAAAAAAATTGTTCTGGCATAACTGGATATTCATAGACAAAACAAACAAGTAAACAGAACCTCAATCTGAACTTTACACTTAATATAAAAATTAACTAACTCAAAATGCATCATATGTTTAAATGTAAAGTATAAAGCCTATAGACAGCTTTTAGAAGATATCACAGGAGAAAACCTTCAGGACTTAGAGCTCACTGAAGAGTTTTTAGATATAGTCCCAAAAGCACAATTCATAAAAGAAAAAATTGATAAGTGGACTTCATCAAAATTAAAATTTTGTGCTCTGTGAAAGACTTAGTTAAGAGGATGAACAGATAAACTATAGAGTGAGGGAAAATATTTATAAACTACAAATTCAAAGAACTCTCAAAACTCAATAGTTTAAAAAAAGTCCAATTAAAAAATGGACAAAAATCATGAACAGACATTTCACTGAAGAAGGTAGACAGGCTCAGTGCCTGTGGCTCAAGTGGCTAAGGCGCCAGCCACATACACCTGAGCTGGCAGGTTCAAATCCAGCCCGGCCCACCAAACAACAATGACGGCTGCAACCAAAAAATAGCCGAGCATTGTGGCGGGCACCTGTAGTCCCAGCTACTTGGGAGGCAGAGACAGGAGAATCGCTTGAGCTCAGGAGTTGGAGGTTGCTGTGAGCTGTGATGTCATAGCACTCTACCCAGGCTGACAGCTTGAGGCTCTGTCTCAAAACAAATAAATAAATAAATAAAGGTATGACTTCTAAAAAAAAAAAAAGAAGGTAGACAGATGGTAGCAAATAAGCACATGAAAAGATACTCAACAATGCATCTTAAAATGTCCCTTCCTGCGTCCACAAAAAGTTGTTCAACATCATTAGCCATTAGGAAAATGCAAATTAAGGCCATGATGATGTATCACTATCCACTTATGAGCACAGGTAAAATAAAAACAGTGCAAAACCAAATGCTGGTGAAGATACAGAGAAACTGAATCTGAATCACTTACACATTACTAGGAGGAATGTCAAATGGAACAGATATTCTAGAAAACATTCTGGAATTTTCTTTAAAAATGAAATATG